AACGGATTAACTTCAAACTTCACAACAAGGTTAATTACCATGAAACCACGGACAAGTCTGATAACCGCCATTATCCGACCGTAATTACTGGAGTTATTACCCTTGGTTTCATTAATGCGATGCATGCGTTCCATGATGTTGTATTGCACTCATTGATCTACCAGTTATGTTGAATGATTTCTCTTTTAATATCAATTACTCACAAATACTTCATATATTTAAATCATACAAACAACTGCTCATTCAATGTGTGACGGGCGTATTATATACCGCTCGCGGTAACCTTGTTCTTTTTCTCAATCTAGACTTTATAAATAGTGATTAATGCTACCATTATAGAGCATTTGTTGTCGGAGTGAACAAAAAAATAGTAATATTTATACAAACTTGTACTAATATATAGCATTAGGTGTGGAAAACTTAATATGTAAGTGTAGATTTAAAGCATTCCAAATCAGCAGCAATATCAGATTAAAGTACAACTTGTTCTAGAGGAATGTACTTGTTACAAATTCAAGTTATTACAGCAATATATCAAAAATCACTTAAATGACAGGCAATTATCTCCTGAATATTAATTAAGCTATAACAGATTTATCTTGTCAGGTTTGGTTCATTTTAGTCAAGTTTTCATGTACATACAAATTCCTTTTTTGGATTAGTTCTAAATTGAGTAGAAATTGATCTAAAAGTACAGCATACCTTTCCAGATTTAAAAGTACATGTAGTCCTACTTAATAATGGTCAAGGACTAATAATTGGAAAAAACATCTTTTGTGTTAAAGAAACTTCATCTTCAGTGTTTCTTAATATGATCCCTATTCAGAACTGAAGTGTTTAATATCAGAACCTAATGGACGTTATCCATTGTTGGATGTTGTCAGTTATACAATATATATTCTTTGTAAATTTCAAGTGTCCTGTTAATTAAAGCCCTTTAACTGGTTAATGGTATTATACACAGAACAACTTGGGGCCTAATACTGTCAGGGGTCAATGTTTAAAGGTGAAGTGACGAAAGTGAGTAACATTATCTTCTTGTGGATTTCAGGTTACGAAGGTTGAAAGGACAATAAAAACTTACTCTTACACTATACAAAAATGTTTGCTATGTGAAACGCTCCTAATGATTTAATTGCCCATTGATATCTAAAATATATATCTAAAAGTACATCTTCAGTTACTTGACCTCCGGGTCAATTGAATTTAAAAGTACATACCCTACCTAATAGTTCACTTTTTATGTCCGCGCCATGAATTGGAGGTTGGGAGGGGGCATGTTTAACATTGTCCATCTTTATCGAACATTAACTTGTCCTACTGCTGGACTTCTGATAGAACTTTCATACATGGTTTAAAGCCTGGATATCTCAGTAGAGTTTATGTGTCAGGGTTGACCAACATCATTTGCAAAATCTGGATTTCTAGTTTCAATTGTAAATAATAGATAAAATCATGTTTAAGAAAAGAGGTGAAGTGACTAAAATTACCACTTGTAAACTTGTTTCATTGGCAGTCAACACAAATATATATCACTTACTATGCAGTCTCCTTGAAATATGATGCCCGTACAAGGAAAATTAATGACATATACTTAAATATTTGTAATAACATTAAATTTTACCTGATTAAGGTTTGTTAATCTACAAAGAACAAATTGCTGCTCAGTCAGACTAAAAAGGTTTGAACAGAAATACTAACCACCATTGTTTAACTTTTAACTGTTGTTTTGAGACATGTGGCTTCTGACATCACTAACATATCGCTGTAACTTGTGTCTGTGTGACCGTTGTTCTAACAGAGTGGGAACAAGGAGCTTGCTGAGAAAACTGAACACCTTAATACTATAGTGCGGACACACCAGGAGGAAAAGGATAGGCTCCGAACTATGCATGCAAAGGAGCTCAATGTGAGTGTCACAAGGGCAATGAACCCCACCCCTGCTCCCAGCGCCGTCTTCTGTTTTAATTCATATAACTATATGTATTTTGATTAGCATGAATTGATGGAAGTCATTTAAAGTAAAATGCATTGGAAGTTTTTATGCCCCCGCCATAAAATGGGAGGGGGGCATATATTGTTGCCCATGTCTGTTCCTTCGTGAACCTTCCCGTCACATCCTGTCAAACATCAAACACCAGAACTAATTTCACATGGTGACAGGGGGCATTCATGTCTTACAGACATTTCTAGTTTCAATCCATGCAGAGTTGCTGCCCTTTCCTACATATATTTGGTAATTGCTTTGAGTTTGCATTTACCAGTAGATATTCTGATTCAGATTAATAAATTGACAATTTTCAGCAACAATAAAATTGCATTTAAAACCTTCATACTGTTGTTGATATTTTCAGGGAAATATTAGTCTTTCCATACTTACTCAATCCCCTGATCATGTTACAGCTACATTTGATTGATTAAATTAATTAATGAGAAGATGGATAAATCATCAGAACTTCAGTTGTTTCATTGATATTTCTGTTACTGACCTGCAGTTTAAATCCCATTCTTTAACATCTGGAGTTAATTTGATTTGGATGGAAGGAAATGAACAAACTTAAATTACAAAGGGCCCTCTTGTTAAGATCAGTCCATGCAGAGTTACTCCCCTTTGCATTACTCTGGACTTGGAGAACTTATGTAAAGTCTTTATAAAGCTTAAAGGTTGATGTAGAGAATTTCTTTTAATACTTAAACATAATAAAATCAACTCCTTTTACAAGGTAAGTGCTCTTAATCTTTCTTAACACCGATTTGGTTTTAATTACTGTGTGTGTAATATTTCAGTGGTTACAGCAAAAAAAAAATAGAAATACAAAAATACAAATAATGTCAATCTGCGATTATTACTGTTGACTAATTGTGTTCAATTCCAAGCTCAGAATATATTATAGCTCTGAGAAACGACTGACACACTTATTCTTGTGAAATCCTGAATAAATAAAATCAATTTGTTTATCAGCATTAATAAAATGAATGCATTTCCTTAAAATAACATGATAACATAAAAGTATTTAGAAGTCATTTATTCAAACCAAAATGTCTGTTTTGTTTCATGGCAACAAAGATAAAATAATAGATGTGAAACATGTGGCACTTTTTACCTCATTCACCCCTGAAGAAACATTTGAACTCTTCGAATTCAAAGGTTGGAATAGTTCATTATGAAATTTCAGGGATGAATGTGTTAACTATCCACAACTGCTGGCACTTCTGTAATGGTAAAGACTTGTTTTCTTTTCTTGCTTTGTGTTTGTAATGTTAATCTCTGTACCTGCAGGCGGAACGATCCCGTTTGGCAGAGAAGCAGGCGGTAGAGGATGAAGCGCTGGAATACAAGCTCAAATTCAATGATGCTGATTCTCAAAACCAGGTGCAGAAAAAAAAGATGTAAGTGGAAATGTTCAACTTCATGTTGGATACTCCAAAGTTTTGACATTGTCTTCTGAAATGAAAATCCATGGTCCTGTTTATCAGTTAGTTAATCTTTTCAAGTCATGAAATTAGATTGGCTACATGGTCATGTTTGTTTTAAGATACTTAACACATTTGAAAAAATAGTTGACTCCAAGAATGTATTCCATGAAGATATCACAATTTAGTATGATGGAATAACACACACAAAAAATGGAAAATATAGTTTAGAGTTTCTAAATATCTTCCATTGATGTATTTAAATACAATGTACAATTGTAACGTGTTTAAAAGAAATTAAAAAAATTGCGTGTTATAATTACAAACCTGTATATGATGGTTGCAGTGTTGCCCTGGAGAAAGAGCTGGCCTCTGTGACAAAGAAAACCAAGGACAGGGATGAGGAGTATAATGATGCTGCCGACCGCCTCCAGAAGGAGCTCAACTCCCTTCAGCTTCAACTTGAGGTGTTACAGAAGGAGAAGGACCGGGCCACAAAGGACAAGGAAAATCTCCTAGAGGAGGTAAGCTACTGTACTTACAGGATAGGGAAATTCTTCCGATGATAGGTTTATAAAATGACAAACTATTTATAGAGAAAGATATACCTTCAAGTAGTAAAAGCCTGTGTACAAGATCTCATGGACCCTGGAACACATTTAGTTCATATTTACACCATAGTATGGTAATGTCAAGTGCTACAATTCTTTACATTTGGATGGTGATTGGTCGGGTTAAAGGATCAAAGGTCATGGTCAAGGACCACACTTGACCACTCCAATTTGCACTTCAAGGTTCAGTTGAAGGGGTTTATTGAAGGGAGGGATGACCAGCCACGTAAAATTAACCTTAGATGTGACATAGAATAAGGGTGGTACACAGAATTACATTTGAAGGGCGAAATAAGCATTGAGTAAAAACTCATTTTACCACAGAAGCTCAAAAGTTTAATGGTTGAATTGATTAATACCGAAATTTTGAATTCAAAAGAAAACAGTATAGCAAATATTTGAAACTTATGATACTTGCAGGTAAACCAAACAGTGGACGGTATGGTTGAGGAAAGGTCAAACCTCCAGGGGGAAGTACAACAGGCAAGGCTGGAAATGGAAGCCACATCACGGTCAAAACGTCAACTGGAGCTAGAGAACACAACACTGCTGGAGAGGATTAACAGCTACGAAACACATAAGGTAAAGTCATACATAAGATAAAGTAATACGAAACACATAAGGTAAAGTAATACATAAGGTAAAGTAATACATAAGGTAAAGTCATACATAAGGTAAAGTCATACAAACACATAAGGTAAGTCATACGAAACACATAAGGTAAAATCATACATAAGGTAAAGTCATGCATAAGGTAAAGTAATACAAACACATAAGGTAAGTCATACGAAACACATAAGGTAAAGTGATACATAAGGTAAAGTAATACGAAACATAAGGTAAAGTGATGCATAAGGTAAAGTAATACGAAACACATAAGGTAAAGTAATACAAACACATAAGGTAAAGTGATACATTAGGTAAAGTAATACAAAACACATAAGGTAAAGTGATACATGAGGTAAAGTAATACGAAACACATAAGGTAAAGTAATACATAAGGTAAAGTAATACGAAACACATAAGGTAAAGTAATATATAAGGTAAAGTAATACGAAACACATAAGGTTAAGTAATACATAAGGTAAAGTAATACGAAACACATAAGGTAAAGTAATACAAAACACATAAGGTAAAGTGATACATAAGGTAAAGTAATACAAAACACATAAGGTAAAGTGATACATGAGGTAAAGTAATACGAAACACATAAGGGAAAGTAATACATGAGGTAAAGTAATACGAAACACATAAGGTAAAGTAATACAAACACATAAGGTAAAGTAATACATGAGGTAAAGTAATACGAAACACATAAGGCAAAGTCATACATAAGGTAAAGTAATACGAAACACATAAGGTAAAGTAATACAAACACATAAGGTAAAATAATACATAAGGTAAAGTAATAAGAAACACATAAGGCAAAGTCATACATAAGGTAAAGTAATATGAAACACATAAGGTAAAGTCATACGTAAGGTAACGTAATACGAAACACATAAGGTAAAGTCATACATAAGGTAAAGTAATACGAAACACATAAGGTAAAGTATTAAATACTGAGGCTGGTTCAGGTTTTAATCGCTTCTATCTTCGAAGAATTCTTATTCACAAGGAACTTCTTTTCTTCCATTAATCACCACTGGTTCCTTATTCTGTATAAACCTCCAAGATGTTGATTATATATTTGATGGTATTTGTACCAACAAGATTAAGTTGGGGATGCTCCGTTGTCATGTTTATAAATTAAGTAACAGTCTTCAGTACTGCATAAAACTGATGATGACTTTTATGCTATGTCTTTCATCTAATAGTATTTATGCATCATAAGGAAAAAGTATTGGTCATATTCAATTGTTAGGTTTAAGTGCTAATCCTTGTGACATCATACACCAGTATTATACTAAATAATGTTATTTACTCAAATTGTAAAAATATGATATTTCTTGACCCTCATATTTTGTGTAAATGTAATGATTTAAAAAAGATTATGGCCTTTTAAATATACTATATACTATATATTGTAAAGTACATCAACTAAAATTCTACATTCCTAATCCTTACTCTACAGGCTGCCAGCACTAAGATTGAGGACACCATGAAAGACATGATGGATCAGAAAAACAAGTTAGCATATGATAATGGTCGCCTACAGTCCCAGGTGTCGCAGCTGACGGCACAGCTGGAGGTCCTGTCAGGCTCGCACACTGAGGTGTCTCAGTATCGCAAACTCAATCAAGATCTCCAGAAAAAATATGATAAGGTACCGCATCATTAAAGCAAGTGTCTCAGCATCTTTTCAAAACTCAACAGGGATCTCTATATGGTAGGGTACCATTAAATGTTGAAATATTATAAACTAAGGAATGGTTGGTATAAAAAGGCTTTTTTGTTTAATAGCATGCAGTTCAATTATACTTATGATGGATTTGTCCCCTATTTAGATCCTTTAAACAGAACGATTTTCAATTGAAATTCAGCCTGTTCCCCAATAATTGTCCCCAGTTGATTATTTTTTTACCAGTGAGTGGTTATGAACGACTTTGATACCAGGAAAATTGCCTTCATATTCTTCATTGCTTATTATAAGAGAGCTCATTTTCCTTAATCTGGACTTCAAGATTTTTACTGTTTTGATAGTACAGTACTTCTTTTAACATTTCTTTGCTTAACTCCTGATATAATGTTTTATACATGGTAGGCTCAGAAAGAAATCAGCGATTTGAAAGTACGGGTCCACGCTCAGGAAAGTCAGCTGATGATGTCACAGGGCAGTCTGGAGTCCCGTGACCGTGACTTCCTGGAACTGCGTGTTGCCAGGGACCAGGCTATTCGTGAGAAGGAACGCCTTTTGAATCAGCTACATGATCTAGACCAAAGAGATAAACCAAAGGTAAATCAACTTTTTTTGCTTTTAATGATGTATTCCATAACATTTCTGTTCTAAGGAAAAGTTGTTTATACTTATATCTTGTACCAAATATCAGAGGTTTATAGTTTTGAGGCTGTAATACCTGTGAAGTGTAATAAGTGATACATAGTGACTCATAGTCTGAATTTTTCTGACGTTTAATCAACTTTTTTTATATCGACCCGCGCCAGGGTTATTGATACCACCTAGTGCATAAAGAATAGATCTTTCGATCCACGTGCGACTTGTGTGTGAAAGTGATGATTTGTTTCTAAAATATCAGTTTGAAGTGCGCTCCGGGCGCGGGGCGCTTATTTCCCGCATATTATAGAGGGCCGGAGTTCTGACGTTAATCGACGACAGATCGATATAAAAAGTTGATAAAACGTCAGAATAATTCGGACTAAGTGTCTCAGTGAAATGTAAACCACAAATGGTATGAAGATGAACAAGTTTGTTAAGTGAAGGTGTTTAATTTATTGACCTGCAAAATACCCTTCCAAAATAACACTGTCACTGTATGTATGCAGTTTGGTTGCAGAAATCGGCTGTCAGAATCATGTGTATTGTGATCCATTGTAAACATGGACATTGAATCAGTGATACAGTATATAATTGATCAGTTGATCTTTGGTGATCTGACTAGTTAGAAAGGTAAACATACCTCCAATATCCAGAGTTGACAGTGCATATATAGTGTCTCAGGCAACACTTTGAACCATTAATTAAGAAAGGATTTTTTAAATTTTGATAAAATTTCTTCACAACATGTTCTACCTAACACATTCATTAAGAATGTTTGCCTTCAAATGAAAAGACTATGAATAACTTGCATTTTCTTATCAGTTGTCAGAACTGTTTAAATTTGTCAATGCATGTGAATGTACCTTTCAAATTGCCTCCTTTGTAAAATGAAAAACTAAATTTCATTCATAAGCATATACCAGACAGGTGTTTTTTTCTAAACATTTTCTTCAGCTTGGTAAGTATGGATTATGAAAAGTTCTTTTTACACAACCAGTAAGACTTATTATGTGATGTTTCGATGACTAACTACAATATGTACACCTTCATCAGACAAATGACCAGTGAAGCGTATCCATGGGCCACGCAAAGGTGTAAAATGTGTACGAGTTGTCCACAAAATCGATGACGATTTGGCTATGTACAATAGTTGTTATATATGTACTGAAATGACTCGATTAAGCTATGCTTTGTTTAATCCTTGGTCATAGATGTGCGAGAGTCTTTGAGCCTCCTCATCTCGATTTAGAACTGGCCCACTGCGGCATATCCAGATGGCTTCCTTTATCTGCCGCTTGAACAGATTGCTCTCTCTGTCCAATACTTTGGAGTTATCCCAGTCAATCACATGATTTTTTTCTGTGTGGCATGGTCTGTGATTGCTGATTTATTTGTCTGGGACTCTGATTGCTTCCTTTCTGATCTGGTGAATTTCCTACTTTCTTGGGTTTCTGTATCTTTCCCGTGTTCACCAAGGCGGACCCCAAATCATACATACGTTTACAGCGTAGCCGAATCAACATCGATTTTATGGACAACTCGTACACATTTTACACCTTTGTGTGCATACGCTTCACTGGTCATTTGTCTGATGAAGGTGACAGTGTAGATATCATACTAGTTATCGAAACATCACATAGAAAATCTTATTGGTTGAGTAAAAAGAACTTTTCATAATATATACCAGACAGTTTCTTTATTTAGATTCCTTTAAGAAAAGAGATTTACCACTTTATTGACCAAAAGTTTGCCTATTGTTACCTAAAGTATTGACTGCTTTGCTGATTGTTTGAAGGTTGAGGGTCTACAGAAGAACCTGCATGATGCTAAGACAGTGAACAAGGAGATTGGAAACACACTAGAGGCTGTAATGTCCTCCCATTCCCAGCTACAGACGGTCGTAGAGGACCTCCAAGTACAGCTTGGCAAGAAGGACACGCAGATATCTCAGCTCAAGATGAGCAAGTAAGTTCTATAACAAATGTTCTGTTGGTGATACAGGTGGGCCTGGGCTGTTTTCAGTTATTACGTTCCTAACAGTTTGACCAATTAGACTGGAGTTGCTCCTTTATGAAATAGGAACGGAGCAAGTGATTTGGTTTGGTTTCTGGCAAGCCTGGGCAAAGACTTTTAAGGACTGTATTTATGTTAAGACTTTTAAGGACTGTATTTATGTTTAGACATTTAAGGACTGTATTTATGTTTTGAGGTCTTGTCAGGTTTTATTTCTGAAATATTACATTTAAAAAAAGACAGACCAAATAATCAAACAGGTCCTGGTAAATTCAGCCGTCACTAACAAGGTCGTCTCAACATTCAGGGTACCTAAGAAATTGGGTTTGATCATCAGTTGAATTTGTTATTTATGTACCAAATCCTTTTATGGAACACAAATGTAGTTTATTGTTAGCGTGAGTTAACTAATATAAAATGTTGAAAGTGGAGACCCTCTCCCAGTGAACAGAAATCCTAGTTGATACTGTGTACTGGTAGCTATTCTGTGATCCTTCCACTGGTAAACGAGGATCATCAAGATGTTAGTTAACCTTGTTTTAGAAGACATGTAAATAGGTTGACATTGTTTTATTTTTAGAAATAAGAAAGAAGAGGATTGGAAAATGGAGTTGCGTCTCTTTGAAGAGAGAATGGAAAATCTTCGAGAAGAACTCCGAAAGGAGCGAGAGAAATCTCACAAAAAGACAAGTCGTGACATAGCTGAGGTACACACTCCAATCAAGTCCTCATTATTTCTTCTGTCTTTCCGTCCTCAATTTATTATTTCTTTCCAATTATCATTTTACAATGATTAGTTTAAGTTATTCTATGATTTGTTTTCTCTCAAAACATTGTTAAAGATGGTACTTCAGATTTCTATGTAGAAACATATACTGTCTCAAAATTGAAGAAATATGTAGAACTCAGTTGAAAGGGTCTAAATTATTTATCTGCTAGATTCTTTTTTTTATGAGAAGAAATTCAGTTTCAATGTTTGACCTTTTTGTGTACATTTAACAAATGTGTCTGTAATAATTCAATCCCTCACACGAAAAAAATGTACAGCAAGGAAAGTTTTCCAGAAAGCTAACAATGTATTCTCCAGAATATGTAGCAAGGATTAAAAACGAAAGTATGCCTATTTACTATTCCAGATAAAGAAGCAGAATGACAATTTACAGAACAGAAACATGGAACTAGTGAAGACTAACACAGAACTACGCCACCGAGTCACAGAGTGTGACAGCACAGCGAAGGATCTGAAGGAGAAGGTGGCCGACCAGAAACGAAAAAACGAATACCTACACCGGTCTAAACGGGAACTTGAGGATAATGTGGACAAAGTTAAGGTGAGATTTGTTTATCAATGGGTACAGGATGATGAAAACTTTAAGGTGTGATATTTATTGAGTCTTTATAAGGTAGAAACACTTTGAGTTCTTTGTCACCCTATACTGTAATAATAATAATAATACTTCAAGGTTCTTATATACCGCTTTATCTCAACCTAGTTCATAGGTCGTCTCAAAGAGGTTCACAAATTATTATCCGTGGTTATAGGCCCTATGCAACCAGCCAATATCTTTCTCAACTCCATGGGGAGCATACAGCCGGAGCTGCCATTTTGGCACTAACAGCTAGCATTCAACAATTCTAGCACTGCCCAACCACGTACTCATTTACAGCTGAGTAGACTGGAACAAGCGGAGTAAAGTATCCTGCTCAAAGATACAACACAGTGCCGTGACTCGAACACGCAACCCTTCGGTCATGAGCCTGGCGTCCTACCACTAGACTACCGTACCTTCATAGCATGAAAGCTTTGTTGTGTATAAACCTTGGTGCTTTTCATGGTTGTTTTTTAACTACGAAAATGAATACAATGAATTTGAATGATTTATATGTCTACTGTTTGGATAAGATATCTACAAAGGTTTGTACCACAAAACCATCTAAATGGCCTCAAACAATGAAGGTAAATACCCAAGAACATTTTGTGCTATACAGTTAGCCCAATTTCTAACTTTGGGCAGCATAATTCTAGCACTGAATACAACAGAGAAGTTGAAACTTTTAACATTTTATCCTTTCAGTCTTTTGATATTGTGCAAATGTCCTTGCTAATAGTTGGCTTGGTAGGTGCTCTTGATTTCTCATGATACTTCATTTGACATGACAGTGTCCAAAGGCTTAAAGAATGATAATTATTTTTCTATTTCAAAATACGTTACCACAGTCATTATAATGCATATTCCAACCTTACTTGGCTCTTTACATACGTAAATAAAGAATTTTTCCCCCCATGGGGAACCCCTGGGAAACCCACCAATCAGACGGCAGTATTCACGCACGTGATTTAAGACACGAAGCCATGCTTCCCACTTCATAATTCCTTCAGCCGGCCGTGTTTACGGACGTGTTTTGGTGTCTACGGGTTCCAACTACAACAGGCGTTGTTTGTACCCATACATTTACGTATCCTTTATAACTAGTTAACTTTATTTTGTTTTAATTAAGCTTTTTGCTTTGTTTTGCGCCGTTTTGCGACCAGGCTCCGGCCACGTGTTCGCGTTTTTGACGGTTTGTTTACGTTGAGATGGAGACTCCTCCTTCTCAAAGGCGCTGTCCTGGGGGTCATTTTTTTGAGGCTTCCGACCCCCACCCTTACTGTCCTGGCTGTCGGTCTTGCTCTCTGGAGCAGCCGTGTGAAATTTGCCGTGCCTGGCAGCCGACTCCTACCGGTGGTTCTCCCCGCCCGCGAGGGCGTGCAGGTAAGTCGGGTAGGAGGGGCGGTAGGGGTGGGGCGAGGGCTAAAGCTAGGCCTAAGCCCTCGGAGAGCACCAGCGGAATTCCGACCTCTGTCGAGTCTTCCCTGGGGTTCGTGTCGGCGGTTTCGACCCGTACCGGGGCCGCTGGGAAACAATTTGTTTCTTTGGACCCGCACCTTTCTCTCACCCCGCCTTCCGTTTTGTCGGTCGACGTGGGTGAGGGTTTGGGCTCTGTCCCGGTCACCACGGTGACTAGGGGACAGGGGGGCGGCCTTCTCTCCCAATTTGTGGTGGGAGGGCAGGTGGCCCAACATTCCCTTGGGAATATTAAACAGGCCAGCCATGTTGTGTCAGCGGATGCTTCTGTTGGTGGCCTCCTGCCGGTCCGCTCCACTCCTGAGGGTGTTGGTGTTGTCGGAGACCGGCCCCCGGCAGTTTTGTCTGCTCCCGGGGTTCCTTGCATCCCTGATGTAGCCCCTGGCGTGGTGATGGCGTCTAGCACGCCGTCCACCACTGTGCAGCATTTGCTGCCCGGTCCGGTGGTTAGTGATGCTTCGGCCTCGCTAGCCTCGGCTGGATTTTACGGTGGTGTGAGCACTGGTGTAAAAACCTATGCTTCCAGCTCTATCCCTTGTGCCTCCTCCCCAGGTTTTCCTATGGTAGGTGCCAGCGCAGCTGCGTTTGGTTTTGCCGGTGCACGCTGCTCCCCTGGTGGGGCTTGTTTTACTGGCCCTACAGGTTTTGGCCCTGCTGTAGGTCAGTCTGGGTGGAGTTGGTCAGGTCAGCCAGGTGTGGCTTATGGCGGCGGGTGTGTAGGTGGCCCTAGGTTCCCTACCCCGCCCCCCCAAACCGGTCCTGCCTCCGGTTTCGGGCATCAGGTTGGTGGCTCTGTTCCAGGGTCCTCCCTGGTTTATCCCACCTATTTGCAGGGTGGGAATGGAGCTCATTGGGGTCAACAGGCTCCTTTTTATGCTCCGCCCCAACCACCGACCGCCTATGGGCAGTCTTGGGGTTTCTCCCAGCAGGGGGCTTTTCCAGCCGCTCCCCCTCCACCCCAGGGTGGTATGGGTTTCCAGCCTGGATATGCCCCCCCCGCCTTCTTGCCTGCGGCGATGGGGCCCCCCCTCCATCCGCCACCGAGCCGTTCGCGCAAGCGTTCGCGCTCCCGGCCAGCTTCTGCTGCCGGTTCAGTCAGGCAGAGACCGCGTGATGCTAGGGCGGCTGGTCGTGCTGCGTTGGCTCGAGCTCCTATTTTGGAATTTGAGTCTACCAGTAACTTCCGCTGTCCGGTGTCAACTCCTACCTTACAGCAGGTTCCAGGGTCTTGTGGTCCTGCTCCTGCTGTTCCTCAGGGACTATCGATTGCCCCGATAGTTCCCTCGGGTAGGTCACGTTCTCTTTCCCCTCCTCGCACCCCTCCCCGGAGGGCGACGTTGATGGAGGTGGATTCGGCGGGTGCCTCTCCTAGTGATGAGAGGGACGTTCTTCGGGGCTCTCCTGGTTGCTCCAATTTTACGGAGACTCGGGATGAGGATAGAGTCGGCGAGTTTACTGACTCTGATTTAGAGTCGTTGGATTCGTCTGGGTTGGACTCAGAAGGCCCTTCTGATGTGTCCCAATCCCGGCCCCGAGATGCTGATCCGGTGCCTCCAGAGGTTTCGGCTTCATTTCGCACTTTACGTGCAGAAGTTATGAAGCTTCTGGGGGACGGGGTTTGCCCACGCCCTTCCACGGATTCGGCCGTCCCGGAGCGCACTTCGCTCCTTCAGAGCATGTTGCCTCCCCTAGCATCTGCCTCCTCGGCCTCTGCTAGGTCTCTTGCGGAGGGACGAGGCGTGGCTTCGTCCCTCGCTCAGGTCAACGCTTTATTAAAGCAGAAGGTGAGCAAGGCTCGCAAGCCTTTTTCCCTCTCGGCTTTACAGGTCGTGGTTGCGGACATCGCAGATTTAGCTGCAGATACGTACCGCATCCACGACCCAGTCTTGGCCCCTAATTCTGTTTCCCTTGAGAGGGATCTGGATAAGTGGCCGGGACGCTGTGTTGACCAGGTTGTGATGGGGCCTAGGGAGCACTCTAAGTTGGAGCGTCTCCTTAGGCTGGCTCTCCATGTTCTGTCCTACGCAGACTGGTTTACTTCTGCGTTGCTGGCTGCGAGCTGCAAGTCGGTGGAGCAGCTCCCCAGCAAGGTTGGACTGATGGAGCGCCTCAGCCAGGCAATTTGCAAGGCACATCTTGATGCGATGGCCTTACTGTCGGCTGCCATGTCACACCTTGTTGTTGCCCGCCGGTTGTCGGTCCTTTCTGGACTGCCAGTCGGCGATTCCTATCGGGCTACCCTTTTGGAGGCTCCCTTGACTGGCGAGGATTTGTTTGGCGGGGTCCTTCCCTCAGTGCAATCTGAGATGAGGTTGGACCCGTTTGCATCTGAGGATGCACGCCACAATTCCGCAGGCAAGGGCGCTAGCAGGAAGAGGCAGGCTTCTGGCTCCTCCAGGCGTAGGAGGAAGAGGGCAAAGACGACTGCTTTTCAGCAGCAGTCTGCCCCTCCGACTTCCGCTCCGGCAGAACGTCGGAAATCTTCCTTCCGCGGTAGGGGTTCCCATAGGGGTCGAGGCAAAGGCAAAGTTTCCAGAGGTAGGAAGGGTTCCTGACTCTTCCTTGCCCTTGCAAACTCCTTGTCCACTGTCTGTGGCCGCTCCCACGTCCTTGGGCGCGGGAGGCTCCGCCGAGGTGGTTTGGGAAGGGCTAGATTGGCCCCTTCCGGACTTGCCAGTAGGCGGTCGGCTGTCCCATTTCGTTCCTCAGTGGAAAGAAATCACTTCAGACAGTTGGGCCCTAGGGGTTGTGTCCAAGGGTCTCTGCATCCCGCTTCTTCGGGATCCACCTCTGGCGCGAGAGCCTATCTTTTTCCCTTCTCCTTCCGATCCGGGAAAGGTGGAGGCTCTCAGGTCAGAGGTTCAAGCCATGATCGCGAAGGGCGCGATCGAAGAACTTTCACGGGACCAGTGGTCTCCAGGGTTTTACTCCCGGGTCTTCCTCGTGAAGAAGAAGTCCGGTGCCTGGAGGCCTATTATCGACCTCAGTACGTTCAACACGTATGTCGATTCCCCGCACTTCCAGATGGAAACGCCACGGCGCATCATTGCGTCAGTGCGTCCAGGGATGTGGGCTACGTCCATCGATCTGAAGGATGCTTACTTTCACATCCCGGTCAGGAGGTCGGCCAGGAAGTTCCTCAGGTTCACTTTCGAGCAGAAGGTTTACCAGTTTCGCGCTATGCCCTTCGGCCTCACTACGGCCCCCTTGGTTTTCACCAAGTTGTTGCAGGTAGTAGTGGGGCACCTCCACAGTCTCGGGGTAGATGCACACATCTACTTCGACGACTCCCTGTTGCTCCAAGTGGATCCAGTTATCCTGTCCCGGAGCACGAGGTCGGTTCTGGGCGTTCTGTGCCGCCTAGGGTTCATCCCTTCCAGGGAGAAGTCGGAGGTTCTCCCCTCTCAAGATTTTGTTTTCCTCGGTTATCGGTTCAGAACCGATCTGGGGTTTGTCCTTCCACCAGTGTCCAAGTTCGAGAAGGCCTCTCTGTTGGTCTCCGTTCTGGTCGGTGTGGAGCGAATTCAGGTCCGATGGTTCCTTCGGTTCCTCGGTTACCTGAATTCATTGGCGGATGTGGTTCCCTTGGGTCGGCTTCACATCCGTCCGCTCCAGCTGTTCCTTCTGTCAGTTTGGTCTCCGGCGTCTCGACAGTGGGATGTGTACATTCCTCTGCCGGAGTCGGTGAAGGAATCAGCTCGTTGGTGGACTCTCAAGAGCAATGTCTTGGCAGGAGTTCCTCTGGTTCGGGCATCTCCTGCTATGACCCTTTACACCGACGCGTCCATGACCGGTTGGGGTGCATACCTTTCCGGTCAGACGTCGGCGGGGGTGTGGTCAGGGGAACAGCTTTCAGAACACATCAATGTTCTGGAAATGCGTGCTGTTCTGTTGGCCCTTCGGGGTCTTCGACCCTCCCTGCAGGGCAAGGCCATTTGTCTGGCTACAGACAACTCCACTGTGGTGGCTTATCTGCAGCGCCAGGGGGGCACCCGTTCCCCGGCTCTGTGTGCTTTATCCACCCAGGTCCTGTTGCTGTGTCAGGAGATCAGTCTCGATCTCACGGTGAGGCACCTTCCAGGTCGTCTGAATGTTCTGGCCGACACTCTGTCTCGGTCTCGGAGCCCGGTTCTCACCGAATGGACCCTCAAGCGTTCGGTGTTCCGGTCTCTTTGCCTGGTTTGGGACAGACCCCATGTGGATCTGTTCGCCACGGCCCTGAACTTTCGACTCCCTACATTTGTGTCTCCGGTTCCAGACCCTATGGCCATGGCGGTGGATGCTCTATCCCAGGACTGGTCGGGAATGTACGCGTATGCGTTTCCTCCCTTCAATCTGGTGGGCAGGGTGTTGGAAAAGATCCTTCTACACCCTTGTACTGTGTTGCTGGTTGCACCGCTCTGGCCTCGACAACCTTGGTTTCCTCTGTTGCTTCGGCTGTCGGTGGACTTCCCACGCAGCATCCCACCCCTGTGGGATCTGCTGTCTCAACCGAGGTCCCGACAGTTCTACTCGGGACCGGAACGGCTCCACCTTCACGGTTGGATGCTATCTCGGGAAGGCTCACTCAGACGGGCTTTTCTCGAGAAGTTGCAACTCGCATCGCAGGATCACTTAGACCTTCGTCTTCCGCCGTCTACCAATCTCGATGGTCCGCATTCGGTGATTGGTGTGTCGGACGGTCGATTGATCCAGTCTCTGCCTCTGTTCCCGTTGTAGCTGACTTTCTTTTGTCTCTGTTCAGGGACAAAGGTCTGTCTCCGGGAACTATTGCAGGCTATCGTTCAGCCATTGCTAGTGTGCTGGCTTTCTATGGTAGCAAGTCAGTGGGCTCGGACGCTTCATTGTCGGCTCTCATTAGGGGCTTCTACATTGAGAAGCCTCGTTCACGGCAATTGGTCCCTAGGTGGAATTTAGCACTTGTGCTAGATTCCTTGTTAAGGGCGCCATTCGAGCCCCTCCAGTCGACAGATCGGAAGTTTCTTACTTTCAAGACTGTGTTCTTGATAGCCTTTGCTTCCGGTCGCCGCAGAAGCGAGATTCATGCTTTCAGCAGATCTTCTTCTTGCCTTCGTTTTTCGGCTGGCCATTCTTCGGTCTCGGTGACCACTGATCCCTCCTTTTTAGCTAAGAACCAGGTTCCCGGTTTCACCCCAGGGCTTGTGGTTATCCCTTCTTTGGCTTCAACTCTGGATGGGGATTGTCCTGATCGCCTGCTCTGCCCAGTTCGGGCCTTGCGTTACTACTTGGCCAGAACAGAGGGGGGGGCGGGACACTCGTCTCGGCTGTTCCAGTCTCTCCAGCCCGGTCGCTCTGATATCTCTGCAGCGACCATCTCACGCTGGATTGTTCAGACTGTTCGAGCTGCGTATGAGTCGGCAGGGGATCAGTCCTTGCGGGTGTCAGGGGTTAGGGCTCATGAGGTTCGCGCTTTAGCTACTTCGTGGGCCTTATTTAATGGTTCTTCTTACGCTGAGGTCATGACAGCTGCTGTTTGGAGGGGTCATTCTACGTTTACGGAGTTCTATCTCCGATCTTTGTCGGGACAGTCTGACGGATTGTATTCTTTGGGCCCTCTTGTGGCTGCCCAGTCCGTTGTCTGTCCTCCCTCTTCTTTTGCATAAGCCTCATTATGTCTTCTCCGCGTGATCCGGAACGCTGGTCGTAATCAGGCTTTGTGTCACAAAAGGAAAGGGTATTTTGAATTTTTCCTCCGGGGGTATGGGTCCTATTGTTGGAACCCTTCATCGCTCCACGGAGACACCACTGCGGTAAGTCGAATTCGCATTATAATGACTGTGGTAACGTATTTTGAAATAGAATTGAGGTTTCTCTTGTGAAACCAATTTCTATTATAAATACTTACCACAGTCATTAGGTGAGTTCCCTCCCAGCCTCCCCTTGTCTCCTTGGCTCTCACTTTTTTGGGCTTTGGAATTATGAAGTGGGAAGCATGGCTTCGTGTCTTAAATCACGTGCGTGAATACTGCCGTCTGATTGGTGGGTTTCCCAGGGGTTCCCCATGGGGGGAAAAATTCTTTATTTACGTATGTAAAGAGCCAAGTAAGGTTGGAATATGCATTATAATGACTGTGGTAAGTATTTATAATAGAAATTGGTTTCACAAGAGAAACCTCAATTCTGCAACATTATGTAAAAACATTTTTTATGAAATATTAGACGTCAAGTTTTAATAGAGAGAAAAATGCATTGGCTCACAAAAACTTTTGGTAGTGTGTATTGATTTTAATTAAAACTATTGCATTATATATGTCTATTTTCAGGAAATGAGGTCAGAAATAGAAGATTTAGAAAGATTGAGAGACGAGTATATGAAAAGAAATCATGACCAAGTAAGAAATTCAATTAATAGCGTGATCTGTATTATCTACACTGTGTATTAAGCTGGATCATGAAGTTTAATAGCAAATACATCCTTACAATACCACTATTTGTCAATGGCCACTAGACCTGAAAATTGCGAAAAAAGAGATACCAGGAAAATGACAACTTTTAAATAAATAGCAAATCTTGAAAAAAATAGGGATCACATAAGTACATTTACAGTAATCCATTAAATTATTTTAATTCTGTAAATGTATTTCACCTAACACACTATTATTTTAATGCATTTTTAAATTTGAACTCCTCAGTTCATAGATGAACTTGTCCACACACATTATATATTATGTGATGGAACCCAATATACAGAACAAGTCTCACAATGATGATTTTGCTCAACATTTAAGGTGTAAAAAGAGCAAAACTAAACGTACCACTAAAATGTGTGTTTGTGGTAATTGAACAGCTTTCAGATCACTGTTTCTTTTTTAATTCTTTTATTGTAGTGCAAATCACTTTATTTTTGCATGAAAAACTTTATTTTATGATTGTGATATTTATATTTGAAATTGATTTCTATTAGAAAGTATAGGCAATTTACAGCCACTGGAAACTAAATTCTTATACTAATTATGGCATTATTTATTGACATCACACCAAACTTTGTTTATTCAGGGTGAGATGATCAACACATTCATGAACCAGATCGCCTGTCTCCAGTCTGAGCTGAGGAACCTAGCCCAGGCTCAGTCACAAACTAACAGTTTAATCAACCAGCGGGAAGAGGCCCTAGAGAAAGAGAGAGTATACAAAGAAGATTCTCGTCGCAAGCACAAGGTACACAGTGGCAGACCCCTGGTAAGGCCTTATCTGTCAATTAAACCCCCTAGATGTGGTAAGATGGATTCTTCAGTCTTACAAGGAGAGCAAAATTGGTGAATTTTTATTGTCCTTTGAAAACAGTGGTTTTGACAGCTGATTCTAGTACCCATTGTGTAATACATAGGAAATGTAATTTTTTTCAAGGAAAGCAATATGCTGATTGAAGAGAAAAAAGGAATCATAAATTCAGATATGGTTCTAAAAGAAATTAATATATTCAGGAGTTCTAAGTTTTTTTCAATTTGTTTTGCCATAAAAGTGCAGAAACACAGTTGTGAAGATTTATTGCGTAAATTATTTTAAGCTATACTGCAATGATATGAGTACATCATTTGATTTGTATTTTCTGATCAGTATGGAACATATTTAGAACATTTTGGTTTATAAATTCTTTCACTAAATTTTGGGGTTTGGTTACTGATTAGTTTGGAAAATTATTTGATGAATTTCAGTTTTATTTCCAAATAAATTGATTGAGTGTTTAGACTGTGGTATCCATCTTGGTGTTGTGTGTAGTTGACTTGATTACCTTGGTAATATTGAATTAACAATGTAGTAACAACCATGGGATAGATAAGGTTCAGTACTGTGTGAAGCTTAATGCATAGAATATTGGACTACCATTGGTCAGTAGACCTAAAAACTATCAATCTAATAAGTAATAAATAATTTTACAGTGGTGTTTCCCTGAAATCTCTTGCTGCAATATAACTTGTGTATCAAATGCACAATTGAATGAGTCTGACTGCTGCCATGCATCTGGTTGGACAGCTGTACATTTTTGTGTTCATGAAGACATCTGGTTGGACAGCTGTACATTTTTGTGTTCATGAAGACATCTGGTTGGACAGCTGTACATTTTTGTGTTCATGAAGACATCTGGTTGGACAGCTGTACATTTTTGTGTTCATGAAGACATCTGGTTGGACAGCTGTACATTTTTGTGTTCATGAAGACATCTGGTTGGACAGCTGTACATTTTTGTGTTCATGAAGACATCTGGTTGGACAGCTGTACATTTTTGTGTTCATGAAGACATCTGGTTGGACAGCTGTACATTTTTGTGTTCATGAAGACATCTGGTTGGACAGCTGTACATTTTTGTGTTCATGAAGACATCTGGTTGGACAGCTGTACATTTTTGTGTTCATGAAGACATCTGGTTGGACAGCTGTACATTTTTGTGTTCATGAAGACATCTGGTTGGACAGCTGTACATTTTTTGTGTTCATGAAGACATCTGATTGGGCACTATTACAAGGATAATATGATATTTTGTCTGTCATCAAGCGGCATAAGTTTTATTGACTGATATTTCTCTAAAGGCAAAGTTGTAGTGCATGTTTATCAGTTACTTTACTTCCACGTTTTCAATCATTATCATCATTCTTGTCACCATCACCATTTTCGTCCTCCTCATCACCACCATCATCATTGTTTGTATTGTCCTCCATCCCCATGTGACTTATGTGTAGGAGACAAGGCGACAGAAAGAAGAGATAGAGAGAATGAGGAGAGAGGCAGAGGAGAAACTGAAAATGGCTCAGGATGAATCTGCTGAGGTAACTATAACATAACCGAAGATGATGTCCTGCAGATCTCAAAGTCAATATAACTTGAAAGCCATGATTCATCAGTAAGGATATTCATACAAAACAAGTTTTTATTCTCCCCCAGTCTACCCCCCCCCCCCCCCCCCCCCCCCNAATATGGCTCAGTATAAGTAGGAAGGTTAACCCCCATGAGTGACAGTTGATTGGTTATCATATACAGTCAAACTTGCTCATGTGACTTACTCCATTGAAATATAACCTTAGTTAAGAGACCACTTTGATATCCCAAATTATAGTGATTTCATTATGAATGAAGCCTGTGTTAAGAGACCACCTGTGTTAAGAGATCACCTGTATTAAGAGACCACATTTTGAACTTCACAAAGATGATCCCTTATTACAGGTTTGCATGTATATCTGACTCAAGTTAATGTTGAATTATTCAACAGGTTTTACATTTCTTTAAAAATCACTTAATTGTTTAACATGAGTAAAATAAGTACAGTAAACAATTGTCATGAGTTCATCAGAAATGGTTTCTCCCATTACTATTTACAAATCATGACTACAGTTTCTAACATGTGAAAAATCCCTGAGAGTCATTACATCATTTAGGATGGTGTAACAGAGCATTGTGCTGTCAGTGTAACAGCTTGCTCCCACATCTGCATAACAGAACATGGTAGGTCATTGATAAAAATGTAGCTCCATTAAATATTGATTTGTGATTTCTTTTTCTTGTTGTAGATATCCATACATCTGTCTGACGCTCATAATTGGTTTAAGTCTAAATTCAACAAACTCCAAGATGAGATCTTATCCTCAAAGTAAGCACTTAATGATCATCTGTATAAATTTAGAAACAGATTTTCCTAAAAGTAGGTACAAAATAATTGTCTAAGCTAAATACTGCCAATGGTACATCAATAAATCTTACTGGAGAGTGTTTAGTGGCCATTTTATGTACTTAGATCATGTCAACCAAAAATTATTAATGGAATATCCTAGTAGGGTTTAACCAAATCAGCCATTTCTTTAAACAATAAAACAACACATATAGAAATATGTCCTCATTTCATGATCAGCCCATGCCTTATTTTGAGTCAGGGCTTATTGAAAGTACAATAACAGGTAAAATAGGAATTTTACTGCCAAAATGTGTTTTAATATTTAACTGGGAGTATTCTTCCTGTTATACAGTATTCAGAATTAAATGCACATAATTATGTCCTATCTTTCTATTTAAGAAAAACACAGGCAGACCTTGAGGAAGAAAATCGAGACCAAAAAATGCTACTAGAGTCTGAACAATATAAATCAAACCAGGCAGCAGAACGGGCGAAGGAGATGATACGGGTGGGTGGACCAATTACAGCACTGTCACCATAGACCGGTCTTATACCTTGTCTGTATCTACCAATTACAACACCTGTCACCATAGACCGGTCTTATACCTTGTCTGTATCTACCAGACAGATCATATAATAGACCGATCTTATACCTTCTCTATATATATCTACCAGACAGATCATATTATAGACCGATCTTATACCTTCTCTATATATATCTACCAGACAGATCATATTATAGACCGATCTTATACCTTCTCTATATATATCTACCAGACAGATCATATTATAGACCGATCTTATACCTTCTCTATATATATCTACCAGACAGATCATATTATAGACCGATCTTATACCTTCTCTATATATATCTACCAGACAGATCATATTATAGACCGATCTTATACCTTCTCTATATATATCTACCAGACAGATCATATTATAGACCGATCTTATACCTTCTCTATATATATCTACCAGACAGATCATATTATAGACCGATCTTATACCTTCTCTATATATATCTACCAGACAGATCATATTATAGACCGATCTTATACCTTCTCTATATATATCTACCAGACAGATCATATTATAGACCGATCTTATACCTTCTCTATATATATCTACCAGACAGATCATATTATAGACCGATCTTATACCTTCTCTATATATATCTACCAGACAGATCATATTATAGACCGATCTTATACCTTCTCTATATATATCTACCAGACAGATCATATTATAGACCGATCTTATACCTTCTCTATATATATCTACCAGACAGATCATATTATAGACCGATCTTATACCTTCTCTATATATATCTACCAGACAGATCATATTATAGACCGATCTTATACCTTCTCTATATATATCTACCAGACAGATCATATTATAGACCGATCTTATACCTTCTCTATATATATCTACCAGACAGATCATATTATAGACCGATCTTATACCTTCTCTATATATATCTACCAGACAGATCATATTATAGACCGATCTTATACCTTCTCTATATATATCTACCAGACAGATCATATTATAGACCGATCTTATACCTTCTCTATATATATCTACCAGACAGATCATATTATAGACCGATCTTATACCTTCTCTATATATATCTACCAGACAGATCATATTATAGACCGATCTTATACCTTCTCTATATATATCTACCAGACAGATCATATTATAGACCGATCTTATACCTTCTCTATATATATCTACCAGACAGATCATATTATAGACCGATCTTATACCTTCTCTATATATATCTACCAGACAGATCATATTATAGACCGATCTTATACCTTCTCTATATATATCTACCAGACAGATCATATTATAGACCGATCTTATACCTTCTCTATATATATCTACCAGACAGATCATATTATAGACCGATCTTATACCTTCTCTATATATATCTACCAGACAGATCATATTATAGACCGATCTTATACCTTCTCTATATATATCTACCAGACAGATCATATTATAGACCGATCTTATACCTTCTCTATATATATCTACCAGACAGATCATATTATAGACCGATCTTATACCTTCTCTATATATATCTACCAGACAGATCATATTATAGACCGATCTTATACCTTCTCTATATATATCTACCAGACAGATCATATTATAGACCGATCTTATACCTTCTCTATATATATCTACCAGACAGATCATATTATAGACCGATCTTATACCTTCTCTATATATATCTACCAGACAGATCATATTATAGACCGATCTTATACCTTCTCTATATATATCTACCAGACAGATCATATTATAGACCGATCTTATACCTTCTCTATATATATCTACCAGACAGATCATATTATAGACCGATCTTATACCTTCTCTATATATATCTACCAGACAGATCATATTATAGACCGATCTTATACCTTCTCTATATATATCTACCAGACAGATCATATTATAGACCGATCTTATACCTTCTCTGTATATATCTACCAGACAGATCATATTATAGACCGATCTTATACCTTCTCTGTATATATCTACCAGACAGATCATATTATAGACCGATCTTATACCTTCTCTGTATATATCTACCAGACAGATCATATTATAGACCGATCTTATACCTTCTCTGTATATATCTACCAGACAGATCATATTATAGACCGATCTTATACCTTCTCTGTATATATCTACCAGACAGATCATATTATAGACCGATCTTATACCTTCTCTGTATCTACCAGACAGTTCATATTATAGACCGATCTTATACCTTCTCTGTATATATCTACCAGACATATCATATTATAGACCAATCTTATACCTTCTCTGTATATATCTACCAGACAGATCATATTATAGACCGCTCTTATCCCTTCTCTATATATATCTAACAGACAGATCATATTATAGGCCGATCTTATACCTTCTCTGTATCTACCGGACAGTTCATATTATAGACCGATCTTACACCTTCCCTGAACATATCTACCAGACAGATCATATTATATACCGATCTTATACCTTCTCTGCATATATCTACCAGACATATCATATTATAGACCAATCTTGTACCTTCTCTGTATATATCTACCAGACAGCTCATATTATAGACCGATCTTACACCTTCCCTGAACATATCTACCAGACAGATCATATTATAGACCGATCTTACACCTTCCCTGAACATATCTACCAGACAGATCATATAATAGACCGATCTTATACCTTCCCTGTATATATCTACCAGACATATCATATTATAGACCAATCTTATACCTTCTCTATATATATCTAACAGACAGATCATATTATAGGCCGATCTTATACCTTCTCTATATATATCTAACAGACAGATCATATTATAGGCCGATCTTATACCTTCTCTGCATATATCTACCAGACATATCATATTATAGACCAATCTTGTACCTTCTCTGTATATATCTACCAGACAGCTCATATTATAGACCGATCTTACACCTTCCCTGAACATATCTACCAGACAGATCATATAATAGACCGATCTTATACCTTCTCTGTATCTACCGGACAGTTCATATTATAGACCGATCTTACACCTTCCCTGAACATATCTACCAGACAGATCATATAATAGACCGATCTTATACCTTCTCTATATATATCTAACAGACAGATCATATTATAGGCCGATCTTATACCTTCTCTATATATATCTAACAGACAGATCATATTATAGTCCGATCTTATCCCTTCTCTATATATATCTACCAGACAGATCATATAATAGACCGATCTTATACCTTCTCTATATATATCTACCCGACAGATCATATTATAGATCAAATCTTATAACTTCTGTATATATATATATCTTCCCGACAGATCTTGTAATAGATCAAATCTTATACATTCTGTAGAACTATGCCAGACTGATCACATTGTAGACCAAATCTTATACATTCTGTAGAACTATGCCAGACTGATCACATTGTATACCAAATATTATACATTCTGTATCAATATACCTAACTGGTTATGTCATAGACCTTATACAATCTTAACAAATCACTATGAAATTCTCTGTCAATTCTTTATATCGACATGTTTGATCATATAGTGCCTCTTAACTATAGCTATGATGTCTTGGAGATTCATTCCGTCATTTTTGATTGATTATTATTTAATCAGAATTTATATCAACAACTGTTACAATAGGTTACAGTAGGGTGTAACATTACTAATCTGAAGTCGAATCAACGCTTTCTGTTAACTAAAGGCCATGGAAGCATTAAAGGAGGAGAGGAAAGCCAAGAAGGGGGTATATAATAGTCACCATTAGACCAGCATGTCATTCTCATCTCTCACCGTCATCCCAATCCCACAGGACGCATGCATTCACTGTTCACATAAAATGCTCTTTCCAACAACAGGATTGTGTCAATTTCACATAAGCATGATAAGGTCCTATCTGTATCAGTATTGTAAAGAAAACTGAAATTATGTAATGTTGTACTGTGTTTCAACTTTGCATGGAAAATCCTAAATGGGCTGTTTTCCCAACGGTATTCAGCGATTGATTTGATATTCTTCATTCTGCACCTGTCAATGCATGGAAAAAAATTGTTTGGATAATTGTTTCCTTACAAACCTACTTAAAATGCCATTTTCCTATAATAAATCTCTTCCCTGTACAAGACACTCTGACACACAACAAAATAACTGGTTTATGCCTGACACTTCACCAATTAAAACTGTCAAAGCACTCGCACTAGCATGACAAGGAAATTTAATTAAAAACTGAATATTTGTGTGCGACCTATGTTTACATCAGCAACTAGGTACCAGTGTAGCTGTAGTCGGTCACTCGTGCTGATAGTCTGGTAGAACCAGCCAGAAGAGTTATTTTCTGAGGGAAGGAATCAGCTTGTCCGACTTTTCACATGAAAGTTTCAAAGATATAGAGATTGACTTCTACACTGGGTACTGAATGCTTTCATGTGATGTATAGTGTTAAATGAAAGTATCATTAGGCTGCATTAGAAAATACTGTGTATTAACTTATTTGTACATATACATCATTTATAATAAAATCAGTAAAATATAAAAATATCTATAGTTTATCATATATAGCACAACAACATTAAAATTTTAACATAGGGCTATTGGCCTATACCACTCCTCTATCAAATAATGTAGATCCAGATTTGAAAGATAGTTTTTGAAGTAGACCATATCGTACATTATTAGTACATTGTTTGTCACATGTAGAATACCATATTTGTACACAATTTCAGTATCTGATGTATTTATAACATTTAGCATACCACATTTGTATCCCATACTTGGTAACCATAGTTTGTGTATTACATACCAGAGTCACATAATCATATTGGAATGGTATATTAAAGATTATTTCACCATTTTTTTGTTTTCAGTAAATGTTGGGTTAGGGAAGGATGGTTAGCAAAACAATTTTCACAGGAAAATAAAAATGAGGGAGGGGTTAAGAATGTTTGTAGGAGGTTAGTGAATGAACAATAAAATGGCAAGTCTTTATTTTCATCATGGAGGAAAAATTAGCTTGCATTGATTAACTTTTCAGAATTCCTTGATAGATATTACATGTATATATTTTAATGAGGTCAAATGTTCAAAGTTACATACAATTGTTATTAGGCCCCCCCCCCCTGGTGCAGGGGGATATATTATTACCCATGTCTGTCCTGTCCTGTGGCATAATGATTCTATGTCATGACTCCACAAAATTCATTTCTTAACAGATTTTCATCAAAGTTTATACAAAGGTATATCAAAGGTCAACATCAAAGTCGCTGTTGATATTCATAGGTCAACCTTTATTATTTTGTCAATAGATTCATTGTCATCAGTCTATCAAATTCAAGGGGAGGGAATCCATGGTTTACAGGCATTTCTAGTTGTTGTACTGTATAAGAAATGTAGTAGGTGTCAATATTTTGTGAATGTAGAGAGCAATGCAGCCATTTAAAGTATAAAAACGTATAAGATGTATTGTGATGTTAGGTTCGTGCTTATGCTCTAGCTCTGCTTACTAACAGTGAGTCATGGTCTAGGATTATGGCCGTAGCTACAAGTTAATACCGCGTCGTGGGCTAGAAGTATTAGCTTGATTTTTGCAATGTGGTTTCAGTTTTGGATATTTTTTGCTATGTATGACTAACTGCAATGATGAATCTTGGCTTGTTTAGTAGATAAAGAGTATCTTAGTTTATTTTCAGGTCTGCTATTTAAAAATAGAAACAAATTATTCAGAATTCTGTTAAAATGTATGTTTATGTATAAAAGGTGGGTAATTCCTAACAATAAAAATAACTCTGTAATGCTCTGAAGTAGTACTTACAGTTACAATGGATTTTATATAATGCCTTTCACTTTGTGTGCATGAATGTTATGAACAATTTGAAATTATTTAATAGGCCACAATGTAGAGGTTTTCTTTCACAGTCATTTTGTCATCATTAATTTTATCGTATTGTAAATATGCACAAAGCATTTCTGTTTATATCAAGTAAGCTTTGGTCTCAGTTTGTAAATCCTAGTTGTTTTAAGTATTGCATTACCCAAGACTCTAGCAACATGTTAAATGTAAACAAGATATACATAATTATTGACCAAAAACTATTTTTATAAAAAAAAATCCCCTTTTTTTTGGTCTCAATTTTTAATCTTTATCTTAACCGTGTTACCGTGACAGTAACAACCCAATAGCTTTATAAAAAGTCATTCCAGACCAAATATTGGAGCCAGAATTAATACTGTTTTTAAGTTTCACTGTTAAAATAATCAGTAATATGTAACATATTATCCCACAGGAATTCTTGTAGCCTGGATTTAGAACTAAGTTACATTGTAATTAAGTTAGGTATGCAAATTACTATGACTATGGTAACCTTACAGGCTAGTCGCAACACCATTAGTCAACTGGCTGACTACGGCGACATGGCCGACACCGAGGTGAGAGAGGAGATGGCTCGGCTGAAGCGTGAAGTCCAGAAACAGAAAGACCATGCCAAATATATTGAAATGAAACATGAAAAATACAAAGTAAGCTATTGTTTGTGGATTTGTGTTGTTGACATTTGCAAAAAAAAAAAAAAACAAAGAAGAAAAAACCCCGAGACATGTACTGTAACTAGTCTATAGGATATGTTTCTTAATTATCATGTAAAACTATCGTAGCTCAACTATACCGTCCTATTATATGTAGGCGCGAATGGAATGGATCACACAGTTTACCGGTAATCTGGAAGGCACATTTGATTCTTTGAACAACCATGGAGTTGTCAGGAATATTCCCCTCACCCCCATAGTCAAGTAATTGGAGTTTGTAACCTGTAAATTTCTAAGAGAATTCAAAGCTGTAACGCCACTGTACCCAAATCTGGACACTTTTTAGATAAATATCAATGTTCTTCAGACAATACTATCAATTCCAAAAATGTTTGTTCATTTTTCATAAATAGATACTTTCCACTTTTCATTTCTATCACAATTTGATATTTCGAGCGCGTAGTTCTATAAAAAGAATACGAAATACTATCAGAGTTGTGTGGGCCCTTGAACCGTCTTGACTACCCTGATAGGGACACTTCCAGTATTTTGGTGAATATTTGGGGATAAATGATCAATATCGGCAGAAAATCAACGAGGGTTCTGATTTAATTTCTTCTCCAAGCTAGCATTATTTTTGATAAATAGATTTTTGAAAACGAGGGTTCTGATTAAATTTCTTCTCCAAGCTAGCATTATTTTTGATAAAAGAGATTTTTGAAAATGATATCCAAATTAATAGCGTCACACGGCACGTAAATCAGGAAAGTGTTGTTTTGGTCATTATTCTTACCTTTAAATTGTCCATGTAATGATAATCAGCAGCCAATAAAGCTTATTACAGTTTAAGGTAATTGTCATGAAAAGTATTATTAAATGAAAACTGTATACATAAAAGTACTTCTTTGCTTTGATTGACAGTTTCTTGGGCCATTTTCCCACAAGTGTCCCGATTTGGGTACAGTGACGGTAACTACTATGTTTTGTTACATGTAAAATATGTCGGACAAGATTTAAGTTAGAGCTACCTGTTATGATGATGTGAAAACAGGGGTGGTGAATAATTGTAGTGGTTCTGTCACTGGCCTCCCACACTGGTTGTGGGCCATGGTGGCCTAGTGGTTAAAGTGTCTGACTGTCGGCGATCAATTGCCCTTACCACTGGGTTGTGGGGCAGTTACTAGGTACTGGTCACAGGTTGTTCTCTCCGGGTACTCTGGCTTTCCTCCACCACCAAAACCTGACCAAAGCTGTTAAAAGGATGTAAAACACAAACAAACCAAACCCACACCTAATTATACAAGGAATTTATGTCGCTGTAGAGATGTAGAGTTTTCAGATGTTTTATGATCTTATGCCTACCAAAGAACATTCCAGGGTTCATAACCAGAAAATCTCTTGGACAAAAATCGTCCTGGGATTACTGCTGGGAATTTTTTCTTTAACAAAGTAATTTTACTGAATTCCCTTATTTTTCTCTTGCAGGAGGCAAGTTCAAGACAACTGGGAAATTTATTAAAAGATTTCGGACGCTGATGTTTATTGGAAACAGAACCAGAAAATTGTGTCCAGAAGATTCCCTCCCCTTCTTCCACCTCATATACCATATGAAAGTACATGAAGGTTTTATTATGGAGATAACATCCAAACTTAGTTTAAATTGTGTGATGGGTTTTCACATTGATGTTTGAAAGGAAAAAAGCCTTAAGTATCCATGTCAGAGTAAGGTAGCATACATCCTTAAGTCTCCATGTCAGAGTAAGGTAGCATACATCCTTAAGACTCCATGTCACAGTAAGGTAGCATACATCCTTAAGTCTCCATGTCAGAGTAAGGTAGCATACATCCTTAATAGTCTCCATGTCAGAGTAAGGTAGCATACATCCTTAAGTCTCCATGTCACAATAAGGTAGCATACATCCTTAAGTCTCCATGTCAGAGTAAGGTAGCATACATCCTTAAGTCTCCATGTCACAATAAGGTAGCATACATCCTTAAGTCTCCATGTCACAGTAAGGTAGCATACATCCTTAAGTCTCCATGTGCATACCTCATGATATGTATGTATATGAATTTATCAAGTTTTGTCACAGACTTCAATAGAAAAAACTATCGAAATATATTTTTGTATAATTTCTAGTACTTTGGGGTAAGACTGCACAGTTGACCACATCTTTACTGACAGATTAAGAAAAAAAAGTACACTTTTTTAGAGTTTGATAAAAATTGATTGATTATTTAATTACTGTATTACTTACTGCGATAACTGCAAAAAAAACAATTCCATATGATACACAAGAAAGTAATACGATTCGATAATATACGATATATCGTTCGCAGCCCTATTTCATATGATTGTGCTAAAAGGCGACAAGGAAAATGGGGTATAATAATGAAAATAGACAGATTGTATGATGATAATTGTATCCTCAGGTGATCCTTGTCTTGAATCGTATCTATTTATATGGTGTTGTTTACTTGCCTGTATAATTATTTGGATATTTTATATAAATATCTATTCTTGTGCCTTGTGTGAGCCTTTTTCAGGCTGGTTATTTTATACTTACGGTATAGACATGCAGCCAAACAATATGCTGATATCAAATGAGAGATAAAAACAATGGTCTGGTACTTTTTTTAATTCAGGTAGAAATTTTAAGTCATTTATTTATTGAGACATTTGAAATATACTATATTTTGTCTGCTATAATTTTGTATGGTTAACATGTACAGGTATATGTAGTTAGTGTTTAGTACATGATTGTAATTTTCATTAAGATATTGATTCCAGTGTTCTTCACGGACTGTTTAAGCATCATGGTAATATGATTTTGCATTTCTTTACAATATTACCATGAAAATCTTTCTTTTTTATATTAAATAGAAAAAACAACATTTCCCCATGCTTTTGCATTCCATCTAGGATGCTGCTTTAACTACAATATTATGATCTCTTCACAAACAAATTCTGAGAAGAACACTGGATGCCAGGACAATGCATGAGAACAAATATCTGTGATACATCCATTAGTGTTAACAAATTCCATAGAAATGCTTGTCATTCCTAGTACTGATGTAAAATGTTCAAATCCCTCATAATGTGTCTGTAGAATCATTAGCATGTGTGATGTCTCCTGGAGATCATGCTGAATCCCAGAACATACCTGGGTATAGGTTTTAGTTTTGAAGTGAATGTCAAATCAATGTCACATTAAGCTAATGGAGTTTGATTTCTGAGCTGTATTCATAAAACTCTTCCCACGCTCAAATTAATCTTCTGGACTCACTCTATTCCTAATAAAGGTAAGAATGTACCTGTTGAAAAGTTCACTTATATCATAAGTGAGTTTGAGAACAGTTCTAGAATACAGATGCTGTGCCTACATTTAGTGGCGTCTTTCTAAGCCAAACAATAAAGAGACAGACATATTTATGTACCAAGGATAGTTACTTGTATATGATGATGAACACATTTATACAAAACAGACTACAGGCAGATAAAACTATAAATGTCAATATCAGCAAATCCAGGTGTACTGTTTTTCTGAATTTTAGCTTAATTAGAAAAAAGAGTTTGTCAATCATCTGTTGCTCAAATCATGTACAATATAATTATCTATTTTGTTATGTATATTGTAACCTTTGATATATACTTAATTTCCATGTGAAAGGAACTGAAAGTCAATGACTTGTCAGAAGTGTGATCGTCTGTATGGGATTAATTTCCGTCTTGCTCCTACCTACAACATGTATGAGTACAGCTAGGTAGACTAGAACCATCAAGATGAAATATCTTGCCCAAGGACACAATAGCATTAGTGAGGTGCCACAGCCATGGTCCAAACAGACAACCCCTTGGTCAGTAGAATAGCAATACTACATTGAGTCACTCGGAACTCCTCGGGTGGTTTTTTCCTCGCACACTATAATGGATATCTCCTCGGGTGGCTTGTTCCTCGCACACTATGGAGACCCCCTCGGAACTCCTTGGGTGGCTTGTTCCACGCACACTATGGAGACCCCCTCGGAACTCCTCGGGTGGCTTGTTCCACGCACACTATGATGGAGAGGTGGTTTGCCAACAATGTTGTGTATCCTCATATTGAACTAGTTAGGTCAAAATTGTTGTAGCCAATCAAAATTTAACAAAGAATTTTTATCTTTTTTAATAACATCATAATCAAATAGCATAACTACCGACTACGTTAGCTGCAATTATGACTTATTTTTCTGTTTTAACATTTTGAATATTTTTTTAGTCAACGTTATTCACTGTAGGTTTTAGTAATTGGGAAACTGGTCTGTTGATAGTATGTGGTTGTTGTTGTTAAATATCAACCATGAAGAGGATGATACTGGTAGTGATTTTGAAACAGGAACTTTTTAATTTCTGTAAATTAGACATAAGGTATCATGCTGTATTTACAATGTAGTCAACTTTATTTACAATAAAGAACATTTATTATATTTATAAGTCAGTTAAATTGATTATACAATTTTACAGTAAATACTTTACATACGTACGTTTGTTTAGATATGAATTATCATAAAAGTTCAAATATCCCTTGATTCTTCCACAGGTACATTTAAACATCCATATGTGATGATAATCTCATTATGTTCAAGTCCTGGATATGGAACTATGAAAAAAAATGAAATAACAGGTCAATATAAAATGTATCCGAATTAAAATATACAGAAAATGCGGCCTAGAATACAACATGAAGGGTTTGTGTGATCTACCTGTAGTCCTTGATTAAAGGTGCAATTGTAACATTAACCAATACTTCAGTGGTTTACGATGTAAGGGTAATTCTAGCACTGCATACACAGTAACTATCAATTTACTTTGTACAAATGAGTTTGTTTTATGGTATGTTATTTAATGTCCATGTGTTACTGTTCATTAAAAGTTTTATGTTTATAAATGGTCCGGTTTAATAAATACTGTGCTATTATTTTTTATATTGAGCTTGCATTTTGTGACTCATTTTTGTTTAATTTGAGACTCATGTTGATGTGGGCTCACCTGTCATTCACAAGATATTCTATGTATACATTAAAATATGTTTTATTTAACAAATCTGACTGAAGTTGGTTTAAGCGTTGTTTGTATCAAGATGGATCAATATATTTAAGGAGATACACTACCTTCTACAGTATACATGTTATAATATGTTTGTGAGAGTTATCTACCTTAACCAGACAAGTTTATGTAAAGTTATTTAGAGTGGTAATACTACCACAGGGACCTGAGAACTTGTTACAGCTATATTTGGCCCAAACTAAGGTGCTCAGAGTAAGTTAACATGATTTAGGGGTTTAGATAGACCCACACAGGGACCTGAGAACTTGTAACAGCTATATTTGGCCCAAACTAAGGTGCTCAGAGTAAGTTAACATGTTTTAGGGGTTTAGATAGACCCACACAGGGACCTGAGAACTTGTTACAGCTATATTTGGAACCCAAACTAAGGTTCTCAGAGTAACTTTACATGTTTTAGGGGTTTTGATCGACACTCACAGGGACCTGAGCACTTGTTACAGCTATATTTGGAACCCAAACTAAGGTGCTCAGAGTAAGTTAACATGTTTTAGGGGTTTAGATAGACCCACACAGGGACCTGAGAACTTGTTACAGCTATATTTGGACTCAAACTAAGGTGCTCGGAGTAAGTTAACATGTTTTAGGGATTTAGATAGACCCACACAGGGACCTGAGAACTTGTAACAGCTATATTTGGCCCAAACTAAGGTGCTCGGAGTAAGTTAACATGTTTTAGGGGTTTAGATAGACCCACACAGGGACCTGAGAACTTGTTACAGCTATATTTGGACCCAAACTAAGGTTCTCGGAGTAAGTTAACATGTTCTAGGGGTTTAGATAGACACACACAGGGACCTGAGAACTTGTTACAGCTATATTTGGACCCAAACTAAGGTACTCGAGTAAGTTAACATGTTTTAGGGGTTTAGATAGACACACGCAGGGACCTGAGAACTTGTTACAGCTATATTTGGAACCCAAACTAAGGTGCTCAGAGTAACTTTACATGTTTTAGGGGTTTTGATCGACACACGCAGGGACCTGAGAACTTGCATTTGTTACAACTATATTTGGACCCAAACTTAAGTGCTCAAGAGTAATTTTACACTTTTTCGGAGTTCAGATTAACTTTCGGTAAAAAAAATGCCACACATTATGATCGTATATATCATCATAAGGTGGGGGAACCGAAAGTTTATCTGAACCACTAAAACGTACAATTTCATTTCTCTGAACACCTTAGTTTAGTTCCAAATATAGCTGTACCAAATTCTCAGGTCCCTGTGCTTACTACTACTACTTGATTATCGTATATATTGTTCTGAAGTCCGGTGTATTTTGGAAGAAACGTCTATGCAAGGTGCGTGTTCTGGTGTTTGCTACGTAATACCACTCATTAGAAATGGAGTGACCAGGGGATAGGAAAGTCAGGCGAATTAACCAGTGACAGGCGGTCCCTTGATTGCTGTACCGTGTCGTGTCTTCGAATTATATTTGTAGTTTTAGGTCCAAGACTACAGCGTATTCCGTAACAACGCCTTTGTCTTGCCAGGACAATCTGATCAAGTTTTGGATGAACGCTGTGACTGAGTTTGTTTTCTACCTGGACAAGGTGTCGGTTCTAGTCAGGTTGTTATACATGTTTTATCCTACATTATTAAATGTATCCGATTCCTCTTGGACGTAGCCGTGTTGCGTGGTTTTGCCATGACCTTGACCCTGTACATGACTCGTTGCAATACGTCTGTGTTAGTTTGCGTCTTGGTGTTTCTACAATCGTATGTGACCAGTCTGACGCTAAATTGTGATGATAATGTGCTTACAAGTCGTTATTAAATGGCAATAACGATAACGGACGTAACATTAGTGAATTTCCTTATATGCCGCCCACCTAGACATCACTTGGGAAGCAATCGAGAATAACCTAGCTGTTATAGTGGTAGTCTTGGAAAAGTCAATGCCTGTATAGTTGTTCAGCTGGTGGAGTAGTCTAATATGGAACATTAACAGACTGACGTTTGCTTGGGCTTTGCTATCTGTACTGCTTACTGACTGATCTTTGGTAACCGAGATAAATATTGGTGGAACCCTCTTTAATTAACACATGATGTATTTCTTTTTATGCGACGTTGGACAAGACGTTTTACATAATGTGCTCAAACGTTAACAGAACGACGAGGAACCGGTTGTACGTTCCTCCAGAATACGTGTTTGAATCTCACCTGGTTATGTTGCGCGCGCCTGCAGATTGACCAATGTCTGCAGATTCTGTCTGGAGTTATATTTTCCATGGGTGGGTATGGGAATGATCCATTGTCCTTGGTGATATGTGCTTTTTTGTCGAAACCAAACGAGAACTGGCCGTCCAGCATGTCGGCGTGTATTAACCAAGATATACATGTATCTGTGTATGCTGCGTTTTGATGGACACTTTTGTGGATTATAACCGCCTTTTAAAGGTTAAACCCCAGACACGTTTAGGGATTTGGCAGTGTCAGGGTTGATGATGGCATGGTTGTAATTGAGTGGTCGTGCTAAAATTAAACTTTGATGATCCCTTTAGGCGCTGTATTCACTGCTGTTCCTGGGAGAGAGGGTCGTACCTGAACAATGCAGTGCTTATTTCTTGTTGATCGTTTGACTGTGCTTCCTTGTGGAAGACATCATGGAATGGAATGGAATGGAATGTTGACCACTACGCCGAGTTTATAACTACGAGGAAGTGATATTCGTCCCCGCTAAGTTACAAACTAGTACATCATACAATGACACACCCTGCTGCTGTAGCAACGCCGTTTTACAGAGGATCGCCAAATGCTACGTAAGATGCATTTTCGAACGTGTTCTTTTCCAAAATGGCGACTAATTTCTCGGCAGAAGCATCACAGCTCAGAACTTGTCCTTCGTTGTATACCGCTAAAAAAGGAAAAAAGATTAACCATATCACATAAATAAAAAGCAATATTGATTAAGTTGCAATATCTTCTTACTTTAAAAGAACGAGAAGGGAAGCAACAGAGCGTCGACAGTCTTGACCGTGTACAACAGAGCGTTGACAGTCCTGACCGTGTACAACAGAGCGTTGACAGTACTGACCGTGTACAACAGAGCTTTGACAGTCCTGACCGTGTACAACAGAGCGTTGACAGTCCTGACCGTGTACAACAGAGCGTTGACAGTCCTGACCGTGTACAACAGAGCGTTGACAGTCCTGACCGTGTACAACAGAGCGTTGACAGTCCTGACCGTGTACAACAGAGCGTTGACAGTCCTGACCGTGTACAACAGAGCGTTGACAGTCCTGACCGTGTACAACAGAGCGTTGACAGTCCTGACCGTGTACAACAGAGCGTTGACAGTCCTGACCGTGTACAACAGAGCGTTGACAGTCCTGACCGTGTACAACAGAGCGTTGACAGTCCTGACCGTGTACAACAGAGCGTTGACAGTCCTGACCGTGTACAACAGAGCGTTGACAGTCCTGACCGTGTACAACAGAGCGTTGACAGTCCTGACCGTGTACAACAGAGCGTTGACAGTCCTGACCGTGTACAACAGAGCGTTGACAGTCCTGACCGTGTACAACAGAGCGTTGACAGTCCTGACCGTGTACAACAGAGCGTTGACAGTCCTGACCGTGTACAACAGAGCGTTGACAGTCCTGACCGTGTACAACAGAGCGTTGACAGTCCTGACCGTGTACAACAGAGCGTTGACAGTCCTGACCGTGTACAACAGAGCGTTGACAGTCCTGACCGTGTACAACAGAGCGTTGACAGTCCTGACCGTGTACAACAGAGCGTTGACAGTCCTGACCGTGTACAACAGAGCGTTGACAGTCCTGACCGTGTACAACAGAGCGTTGACAGTCCTGACCGTGTACAACAGAGCGTTGACAGTCCTGACCGTGTACAACAGAGCGTTGACAGTCCTGACCGTGTACAACAGAGCGTTGACAGTCCTGACCGTGTACAACAGAGCGTTGACAGTCCTGACCGTGTACAACAGAGCGTTGACAGTCCTGACCGTGTACAACAGAGCGTTGACAGTCCTGACCGTGTACAACAGAGCGTTGACAGTCCTGACCGTGTACAACAGAGCGTTGACAGTCCTGACCGTGTACAACAGAGCGTTGACAGTCCTGACCGTGTACAACAGAGCGTTGACAGTCCTGACCGTGTACAACAGAGCGTTGACAGTCCTGACCGTGTACAACAGAGCGTTGACAGTCCTGACCGTGTACAACAGAGCGTTGACAGTCCTGACCGTGTACAACAGAGCGTTGACAGTCCTGACCGTGTACAACAGAGCGTTGACAGTCCTGACCGTGTACAACAGAGCGTTGACAGTCCTGACCGTGTACAACAGAGCGTTGACAGTCCTGACCGTGTACAACAGAGCGTTGACAGTCCTGACCGTGTACAACAGAGCGTTGACAGTCCTGACCGTGTACAACAGAGCGTTGACAGTCCTGACCGTGTACAACAGAGCGTTGACAGTCCTGACCGTGTACAACAGAGCGTTGACAGTCCTGACCGTGTACAACAGAGCGTTGACAGTCCTGACCGTGTACAACAGAGCGTTGACAGTCCTGACCGTGTACAACAGAGCGTTGACAGTCCTGACCGTGTACAACAGAGCGTTGACAGTCCTGACCGTGTACAACAGAGCGTTGACAGTCCTGACCGTGTACAACAGAGCGTTGACAGTCCTGACCGTGTACAACAGAGCGTTGACAGTCCTGACCGTGTACAACAGAGCGTTGACAGTCCTGACCGTGTACAACAGAGCGTTGACAGTCCTGACCGTGTACAACAGAGCGTTGACAGTCCTGACCGTGTACAACAGAGCGTTGACAGTCCTGACCGTGTACAACAGAGCTTTGACAGTCCTGACCGTGTACAACAGAGCGTTGACAGTCCTGACCGTGTACAACAGAGCTTTGACAGTCCTGACCGTGTACAACAAAGCGTTGACAGTCCTGACCGTGTACAAGAGAGTGACAATCCTGACCGTGTACAACAGAGCGTTGACAGTCCTGACCGTGTAAAACAGAGCTTTGACAGTCCTGACCGTGTACAAGAGAGTGACAATCCTGACCGTGTACAACAGAGCGTTGACAGTCCTGACCGTGTACAACAGAGCTTTGACAGTCCTGACCGTGTACAACTTAGCGTTGACAGTCCTGACCGTGTACAACAGATAAGTTATTCAGAACTTCATAAAAAAAATGTTTTTTAAATGGGAATTGGCAAATATTCCAGTAATATTCCTACCCGTTTTCTTTTCTTTTTGCAAGATTAGATGATTTCTTTCGGATTTTGATTAACCATTTCCATCATGACTCCAGGCTCATACACGACCAAACGGTAGAACATACAGGTAAACGGTCGGTGTATGAACATATAGGTAAACGGTCGGTGTAAGCCTACAGGTAAACGGTCGGTGTATGAACATATAGGTAAACGGTCGGTGTATGAACATAAACATTGGGATTAAAATAGTTAATACAAAAAGAAAAGGGGAAGCAAACCATCGTCCCACACCAAGGACATGGAAGTCAATTCATTATTGTTTACGGCGCTACCACATTAGTCGCCTCTTTCGATCACCATATGCCTCGTTGGGGTATTTTCTTTGTATGTGACGAGTCGCATGTCAGGTAAACGTCAAAACTTCAAAGCTATCTCAACGATTTAAATATTTTTCCTCTGTTTACCATAGAAATAATAGTTCCACCCACCTTTGATCTTGTCGGCGAGCTCCTTGTCAGCCGTATTGTCACGGACATACGTCAGCATGTCAGTGTCCACGTGACCAGGCGAGTAGGTGATAACCCGGATGGACGGATCTTCTGACGACAGCACCCGGAAAAACATGTCCCGTGCAGCTTTAGCTGTGAACAGAAAAGCATTCCATGTGTAAGAAATTTGTTACTGGATATATTATGTGAAAGATATATAATGTAACTGTCGCTAGAAACACAATACAATATACGTACTGTTAAAAGACAATGTTTAGCTATATATATATAATTGTAATAACTGATATGCATGTATTGTGTAACTGTAAGATATACCTTGTTACATTTTGGAACCGTCACTCTCATCCCATCAAATATCTTTAACGTAATTTCATACGTGATAATGTGATATCATCTCCCATGGAGTGACGACATGGTAAGAAAATGTACTATGGATGATTTACTGAAAAGTATGGACTGTAGGTTGTCCTCCCCGCCCCACTCCTGTTACAACACACACCCGTCCCTGTAATGAAATTCGCTTTAAGAATTCAACGGGCTCGTCAGAGACACCAATCAATCGAATGATGTGATCTTTCCAGAATTATGTTTCGGTATATTTGCGCATGTGCGAATCTCATTAACGTCACACATTGAAACAAAGTCGTCTACATGTGCAAGAAAGGCCGACATATTGGAATGTTTTGAAACTCGATAACTTTGAAAGACATAGAGCAGGGACAGTATCCATTATACGTCCCTGCATAGACCAATGAAATCAACATTGATATCGTGCAACAGGTAAATGAAAACGTGTATGAAACCAGGTAAATGTCAAAATTATTGCCTATTTGGAATGTTCAGAAAGATTTACCAAAATTGTCCAGGGAGTCGAAGCGGCACATCTAACGCTGCAGTCGTTTAGAGGTTTTCAGAATGCCCGGACCAAAACTGTCGAAGCCATTATACTTATAATTTATCTTCGTGTACATTCTTGGGTTTGCGAATAAAAACCAAATTTGTTAAAATGTTAAAGAAAGCATTAGGTACATTTTGATATGTTAAACGGTACAAGTTGCTGCTTCGGAACCGGGCCAATGACAGCAAACAGACCAATGTTCATACAAAAACAGAAAAATCGGTTCCATGGAATTTACATGACTTGAAACCCGCCAACATCCAACAAAAAACAACCCTGAGCATGTATATAGTGGTATACAGAATCTAGATTCTTGTTTCGTGAGCAGCTCTTTGTCACTGTAGGATTTGCTTTTCTTAGGTTCGCAATCTGCCAATTTTTATTGTATAGTTTTTGCCCTTGTTAAATGATTTTGCAAAGACATTCTTCCAAGAAGAAAATCCCAATGACGTTTGTCAGATGACGTAATTTCAAGGCTACGATGTCAACTTCACAGGGAAGGAGCAGATTTTCCATGTATTATATTTGAAATATAAGAAAATGCTTTATCAACATACTTTTGTGTTGTCTAATATTGTATTTATGACATTGTACCAGCAATATAGCAGATACATAGGTGAGGTAAAGCGAAGCATGTTTTAGTTTAGTTTTGTTGAATGTTGGCATTATTTCGACATCACCTATTTTGTGATTACATATGTTATAATTGTTTTACTATTGCTTTAATCTGTTGTTTGATTGTCAATAATTCAAAACTTTTAAAACTGAAACTACCACGCCTATTGTTAATTGTGTATTGACAATGAAACAACCCTAAACATCACGCTGAGAAGTCATTTTGCCGAGAAAAGTTGACTTTGAGAATATTGAATTTCGCAACCTGGCTTCAAACTATTTATCCGCAGGGAAACATTGCGAGATCTGTTTTCGCGAGGTATAAGCAGTTGTGAACTTAATCTAAAGAAATATTACAGAATGACAGTAAGCATGTGTCATTAGCTAACAATATTAGATCTACTTTAATATTTGTAATATAAGTGTAGAGATATTTACCTGCACAATACGTGCTCATGGTTTTGTATGGCCGTATGGCGTTTCCTGACGTCACATTGACAATAAGCCGATTGGTCACTTCGGTAAATACTTTGAGAAACGCAGCATTAAGGAGTATCATGCCAACGATATTTACGTCAAATAAATGTACCAATGACGTCACTTCCGTCAAATCCCATGTATGCTTCGATACGTCACCAACTATTGCACTGTTATGTACTATGATAACTTGATCGAACTCTTCGGGTTCCAGATTATCATTTTTCAAAATATCAACAAACAGATTGTCGAAAATTTGTTGATCCATTTTCCCCTGGTCAAATGTTTCGGTTCGAATTCGTACTCCTGGGTGTGATGTAGACAAATTCCCCGCAAGGCTTTCCTGTCCAGTATGGTCGGGTGATAGAAATACATAGAAAGATGACGGCGGCAGTTTTTCTACCAGCTTCGAAGCGATGCTTCGTCCAAGACCTCGACCTACTCCGGTGATAACAACAAAACTCTTCTTATCCAGGATTCCGGGTAAAGCGGTGGCCATTGTGACCGACGAATAAGGGACAGAAACTTTAATAAAATGTTGTTAAAAAACCACTAATAAACGATATACATACGGAGGCATGTGACAGCCGTACCCAGTGAGCGTGACGTCAATACAACCCCTCGTGTCGTAGTTACACCACGTCAAGGGGAACGACCTTAATTAATATGTCTTATTGACAGCTTGCTTAGGATATATATATATATACCTGTATTATTTAGGATGATTAGAATTGTAACTGTATTGTAGGATGTATACTAATGTTATTTAGGATGTATACCTGTATAATTTTGGATGCATATACCTGTCAGATGCGTAGCTGCCTATAACAATTAAAAAAGTCGCTGCCTATGAACCCTTTGTGCCCCTACCGAAGTCCTGCCCTGGACCCACACATTTGGAAATGAATAACTTCGAACAAGGGCTTCGCTTAGGATTTACAAGTCCGGTAATCTATTTTTTTATGAAAACATCAGCCTTAATGCTTTATCATTGACTACATTACATCGCTATGGAAGATACTGTACTAGGCCCTTGACTACATTACCTCGCTATGGAAGATACTAGGCCCTTGACTACATTACCTCGCTATGGGAGAAACTAGGCCCTTGACTACATTACCTCACTATGGAAGATACTAGGCCCTTAACTACATTACCTTGCTATTGAAGATACTAGGCCCTTAACTACATTACCTTGCTATGGAAGATACTGTTCTAGGCCCTTGACTACATGACCTCGCTATGGAACATACTAGGCCCTTGACTCCATTTCCTCGCTATGGAAGATACTAGGCCCTTGACTACATTACCTCGCTATGGAACATACTAGGCCCTTGAAGTAATCTTCCGTGCTCTGGGAATTCGTTTTATTAACAAGTAAAACCCAACTTTCTGTATGAATGATATTAAGTTTTGTTCTTCACCAAGTTGTGTTTGATTTACATATATCTTCGAGATTTATCAATGAATATAGACATAACATAACAACACTGATTTATCAGACAACAATTTTCATGAAAAAAAAAATGTTTCTTTCCTTTTATTATGATTGATACGGACGGTTCATATTAATCATGATTTTTTTTTTTTTAATAAAACTCTATGATTAAAGAAACAAATTCTTGAAAATTTGAGTGTATGCTACGGCACTGTACCTGTATCATGTTGTACACTGCTGTTACCGTGTCATTAGGTCACCTAAGTGTGTACACGTGGCGCAGTTCCTATTGAAAAATAATAACAGGAAAATGTCGCTCTTAATTCGCACTTTCTACCAGATAAATGCTTCTTGGCCAGTTTCATCGCCCCTTCTCGTCCCCGAAAATAACGAAAGTTGATGCGACGTTATCTTTTTTTTTTTTTTTTTTTTTTTTTTTTTTTTTATCTTTTTACTTGTAATTCTCTCGTCTTTTATACTTAGCGGCCATTGAAGAAACCAATGTTGATCTGCTGCCCTATTGGTAACACTTGGGATTTATCTTTTCTTTTCCAATTTGATTTTCCCACTTACTCCTCCTTTTCGCCGGTGTCTACCTATAGCTATAGGTGTCAGTCGTCGTTATAGGACTTTAGCTGTGGCGAGGACGCTTAACCCAAAACGGAATTTCTACGTGGTAAAAACTATATATATTCCACTAAATCTTCATATTATCTTTCAACGCATATACAACTTCATTCACTTCGTATTTGTTCAACGTGTTTATTTGATAAAACGTGCTCAAATATCAAACAGTTTCTACAAATTATAAATATTAAACAGTAATTAAAATAACATTTAACAATCGTAACTATAACCCACCGGAATTGGTTTTAATTTTAATCTCATTTTGATGCTATATGTACGTACATGCCCACGTACATACATATATGCACTTTATGCAGGCGTATTTAGCATGCCATTGTGGATCCCATCGTTACGTTACATATATATACCCATCAAAACCCAAATCCAAAAATTCGCATCAACAGTAACACATTAAAAACAAAAAGTATGCGCAGCGCCAACTCTTCAGTGAAATCGTTGCGCAAACATATGCATACACGACAGCTGATAATTCTGACCGTGTTTACATTTATAACTGATGAACCGGACTTTGAGTATCGTGTATTCCGACCCGTGTGCGTGATACAGGATAGATCAACCATCAACAATCCAACCCGCGAGCAAGGTCCGAATTGATTTTGTATGTAGATAAAAACAGTTTATGATTGTCCAGAGAATGAACAATATACACAAGTTAATACAGTTGTCATTGTTGAGATTTGTTCACACAGCTAGGCTTTCAGATTATCAGGGGTTGGTTAACAAGTTATAATGTACATAGCAGCTGCATACAGTCAGGAACGGCATCCGCTTCCGCTTGCTTTACCATCATTTCCCCGAGTTCTGTTATAATAAGTATATAAACATTTTTTTATACGTTTGTTTTACTGGAACGATAACACAACGGAACAGGTGCGTGCTCTTCCGGTTACCAATGATGATGATGGCGCCCGTGATGGTGGTGATGGTGAAAAGGTCCAAACCTTAGCCCACGACCGAAATGAACATCAATCCTGGGAGGTGGGGGTCCTGGAACGAAGACGGGGGGTTGAGGTTGGGCGTAACCGGCGGGATACACAACTGGGGGCTGGGCAGGATATGTGACAGGAGGCTGGGGGTACGCTTGTGGCACCGGATATGGCTGTGGTTGGTACGGCGGCTGCTGTGGCGGGTACGCAGGGTACCCCGTGTTTGGAGCGGGGTACCCAGGAGGAGGCGGATGATGAACTGTGACGTTCACTCCAGGTTGGGCTGGGCGGTACATCGTAAGGTTTCTTTTATCTGTTCTGAAACGAAAAGATTCCGAATTAAAACAAGAAAAAACATTTCATTTGCAACGCGTATCCGCGTGTCACAATCGGAGACTTCTTCCCATCCCATTACCCCTTCCCCGATACACTCATTCACAAGCAGTGTTTTAGGAAAGGAATTCCTTAATTATACACCAATTAAGTATTCAATCAGGTCCTTCTTTAACAATAAGCACTCTGGAAACGCCCTATACACTGTAAGCTGATTTACTACTAGCTGCGATAACGTACGAAGCTTTCTGACGACGAGAGATTTTGTTTATATATTGTGGGGTAGAGGAGGCCGATAATAATATTATTAGTACTAGTTAACTTACTACCATCACATTATAATTATATATGATTTCAGATCTCTATTTTGCATTTGTTTATATTTATACGTAACTATAGTATATAGACCCAACCACCCGGCCCTCTCCAGCTCCTATTTCCAATATAGGGAGGTTGTTATGTTTCTGTTGTTCAGTTCAGTTGCTTGAGTATCCATTACTCACGGTACAGGAAGATATTAAGCCTGAATGACGTTTTAGTGGAACATAACAATAACATGAATCGTTTTCCTTTTTATACTTGTCAGTGTGAAGGTATTAACTCTGTAAATTCATGCAGACCCTTAAGTTGTTTAGAAATAACGAATCTTCGATATAGGCCTAGTCGTACAACACTATAGACTAGTATAGTACAGGTTGTAGAATCTCCGAAAGCCTGTGGCCTGTCGTACATTAATTGTTGTTAGAATAGATGTAAAATCTTGGATGTGCTAGCTTGACCCTGATTGTGTGTAGGGTACTGTAGTTGTAATCAAACCATCATAAATACCTGGTAGATTCGGCGATCCTGTTGTATAGTTAATGCTACGCCCTGTAACTGGCTATATACGGCTCAAATAAACGGCTATTTTAAGAAAATGATACTATCCGTCATGTGACGATAAAATCCACGTGACTAATATTTGTTTACACACACACATAGATTATCATACACATACACGGAAGGTACATACATGTGTGCATTCAATGTTTACAATGGCGCGCTATATGTAGCTGGAATCTAGGTGTGAAATAAGAGCGCTTCTTTCATATTCCCGAAATGTAGAAAGCTTCTCAGGTCTCGAAAAAGTAGCCACGTGAGTGGTTTATCTTGTCTAATATAAAACTAACTCGATAATAACGCGTTACCTTAGTGGTAAATTATGGAGAGTCTGTCTATCTATCTTTATGTTATTCTCTACAGAGTCCAGAACATGACGAAGTTGTGGTTAATATATATGATAAAGCATGTATTAACCTTTTCTGGTGCGTTGGCCATTATGATAAAGAAAGGAAAAATCTGTTCGTCTATTCAAATTAAGTGTAAATCATGAAACCGTGGAAGAATATGAGCAATGGACAAATTACACGGAGACTTGGCAAAGGACAAATTACACGGAGACTTGGCAAAGGACAAATTACACGGAGAGGACAAATTACACGGAGACTTGGCAAAGGACAAATTACACGGAGACTTGGCAAAAAACAATTAAACGGAGAATCAATTGGCCCTAGTTGCTTCTAGGTCAAATAAAATAAAATACGGCTCTGTCCTCAAAGTGATAACTACTGCAATCCCTACCATTCCTCCCGATACATCCATGATCTGCTTCGATAACACGTTCAGAACGGGATGCTGGTTTTGTTAAACAAAACAATTTTCCTGATGACATATTTTGTCCAGCAGGTAACACAGTCATGTGTGCATATTTCCCCCCTGGTGCCTTTTGTGAACAACTTTGGTGACTAGCAACATCAACAGAGCCATGTCCAATTATCGCAGTACTGTTTTGACCACCATATGCTACGTCCTCACTCTCTGAAGACGCATGAAAATAAATGGACTATGCAAACGGATGAGGATGCTAATTATAGTTACATGTAACGATAACATACAGTAAGATACGAAAAAATGTCTATGAATCCCCCGGACCTGCAGTGCAATCAGCGTTATAACACGAGCATCGACGACAAGTAAGTTGTCTCTTTCAATAATAATAATAATATACAACATGTGATATAGCGCGACCTTTCTAGCTAACATAAGCCACTCTAAAGCGATTTACAGTACATAGATATACAATTAGCATATACAATTTTGAGGAATTAGCAGGAGCTGCCTTATCAGGCGCTAACTACTATTCCTATGCCACCTGGCTAATATCTCCCTATGAGTGTATGCCTGTGTGTTTGCTGGAGATGTGATGTGTTCTGTTTGTAGTGGGACCATGCTTCCAACGGCATCATTTATAGTGCCACCTCACTTGAATGCTACAGCACAGATACCGCAACATCCACCCCAGAACAACGTTATACTCCATCTGGGTTGTTGGAGTTGTATGGGCAGGAGAAAAACACTTTCTCTGAATATCCATGCGTACGACGACTTCGGGAATTGAACTCCGGCCGCCTGCGTAGAAAGTCGGAGTGTTAACCATTCGACCAATCCGCCCATCTTCTGTGTAAATGCCAGCATTTAGGTCCCCAGTTCTCGATATCCCCGTCCGAGCCATTGATTGATGCATCTCTTTAGCAGGCGTAATTGTACAAACCTGTATCTCGAGAGCTATCACAGTTCTCTTTTATTTGCCTCCCAAATGGTTCTTGGAATGTGCCACTACAATGGCGCTGATAATGTCGGGGTGTTCATACTCATATCTAAGTGTCAAAGTTACAGGACCTGTGGTGCAAGTGAGCTGTTCCAACTGCCAATTCAGGAACACGACATCATTTTGAGCTCATGTATGACGTTGAAACACGTTTCCTCCATGGTTTAGATTATCTGTTCTGGTCTGGATCTGTCTGCACGGCATTACCTTTTTTTAGACTTCTAATAAACGGTGACTGCTGTTCGACGAAGTATTTGCTTTCTGTCAGTAATATCTTACTGGAATTACAATTTTCAACTGTGGAGAACGTACATCTTCACTTTTGTACCTTCTTTTGATGGCATCGTTGGTGCTATTTGTATTCTACTGACAAACACATGGAGAGCAGTCCTCTTCAGGCTGCGCAATCTCTGGTCAACTGTCCAGCCTATGGCTATTTATAGAGGCTACTCTGTCGACAACACATAAAGCTTATAACTTGTTGTGATGCTATAAATGTATTAGTCGAAGTTCAATGCCTGTTTATCTTTCCCTAAAGTTTTTCCATGTTGCATGTTCTTTGATTTTCTTGTATTCGCTAGACGAATGCATTGACGTTCATGATACACAGGTTCCATTCAGATTGTCTAAATCATCATAACTACTGCATTTTATTGTATGATTTGATCATTCCCCCCCCCCCCCCCCCCCCCCCCCCCC